GGGGGTGGGGGTGGGGGGGGCCTTTTTCTCTTGGATTTCAGTTCCTTTCTGGGCATGGGCTTCGGCGGTAAGACCGGCATTCGATTATCCGAATTGTCCGCGTGGGCCTGATGCCACTGCTGATTGATCGCTATTCTATTCACGTGATTCCTCGTCGGCAGTGGTGGGGCTTCCTTCGCTGCGCCGTTGAACACCTTCTCCACGAGCTCGGCGTCGTCCTTTATGGGTCGGAAGTGGGTCTTCGAGTCCGCGGCTAGATCGGCTGAGTAAAAAATCCCTGGACGTGGCTCGTGGCCGTAGCTGAGGGGAGCATCTTGGAAACTAAGGGGTGGCTGAAGCGTTGGTGTTTCTTCGATTACGACGGTATTGGGCGCGACAACGGCTGTTATGAGCTCGACGTCGCCCCGGGACTCGACGAAAGTTCGCGCCTCGGAATTGGCGAGACGGCTGAGCAGGAAGTCCGGATTGCTGAGGCCGACGATACCGCTGTCCAGCAGAATGTCGCTATTGGCTTGGTTATCGTCGAGTGGACCATGTGGATGAGACGATTGCTCCGCGGCGGTCGAAAAGGTCGAGGTCATGGAAAAACGATCGGAGCTTGAGAAACGTTCGATGACGGTCGAGAGAGAGCTGCTGGTATCGTCGGAGGTGCTGCCGTGGTTACTCGAGCCATCCTGTGAGCGCGCATCCAGATAGGATTGGGCCTCCGGGGGCAGTTCCTGCAAAAGTTCCTGCGTTATGAGTGTGTGCTAGACGTAACGGTAAGTCTTGGGTAATTGGAATTATGGTCGTAAGAAGGAGACTAAGATATATTGGGAGTTCTAGGGGGTGGGGGGGTGTAAGAAACATGCTTACGTGAGTAAGAGGTTGGTTACGATGGTCTTGTTGTCTCTTGGTTTGCTTACGAAGAGACCATAAGGCATTGTTATGGTATAGCGTAGATTGGCTTATTACTTTTTCGTTAAACAATGATTCATTGAGGAGATCGTAATATATTGTAATTGGGTTTAAATGATCCGGAAAACTTGACTTTTAATCGTACGTTTTTCAAATAATAATGAAAAAGGAATAACTCTGCTTCGTTTGAAGCATATCTGCAGTATTAGAAATGTTAAATTCTTAGTGTCCGTTTAAATAACTATAAAATAAAAAATTATTCGTAACGAATAATAGCTACTTCTTATCAATATGTTTAATAGTTATTTATATGCCAGTATACGACTATATTGCATTAATTTAATTCCTATTAAAGTTGATTTCTTTTCTTTCGTTCCTAGATATTAAGGACTGATAATATAAATAATAAATTAATAACGACACGCTTTGAGTTTATTATTCATTTAGTTCAATGACTGCTTATAAAAACGAAACGATTGTACGATAAGGCATGATAAGGTTATTAATATTTTTAAAGATATACCTGCTTTGTCTTATTAATTACTGGAGATATGTGAGGTTTCAATGAGACTTTAGGGCTGCCAGTTTTCGACTCGGAATAACATTTCGCCGATGAAGACGAGCAACTGTCGTAATTACTTGACCTAATGCTACTCGCTGCACTGCGAAAACTTCCTTGTGACTGTGGTGAGCCACTTTGTGATGATCCCACCGATTTTGGACTATCCCATGCTTTTTTAATTCCTACAAGCAATTATATGCAATGAGTATAATTGTATCCAGCTAAACGTTATGGCATCTTTCGTGCAAACTACCTTAAGTTTCATTAAATTTGCAAAACGGCCATGAACGTTTGAAATTTATTCAATTTCGCTATTCTTTGACGTTTTAATTTTCATAAAAGAAAGAAAGAAAAATAATTAAGACAGTTACATAAATAATACCATGTGCTATTGCACTTATTAATTAAGAAAATTTTTTTTAAAAAGAATATCGATATTAGCTTTTTAAAATACAATTACTAATAATTGTGTATAATTTTACATTACAAATATAAAATAATATTAATAATTGTTAATCGATTAAATTATTTTGAGTTATAATTTTTACATTTCAATTAATCATTAGATATTGAATTACATACACCACGTACTTATTAACTACATAGTACATAAAAATTTAATGATAAAATCATAAAACCTATGTTAATTAAATGGCTGTCATTATATAATTAATATTGAGTAAGTTATGGTTTCAAAGCAGAACTAACGTCTTTATTTGCTTTTAATACTCGGATTACAATGGAGTCCTCGAAATAATTTTCATTTACGTTAGGAGTAGAAATATTTAAAAATTAGTAGTATAATCAATACATAATATATGACTGACAAATTATATTAAACGTAGTTTAAAAATAAAAATAAAAAATAAATAAGTTACAAATCAATGATTTATTTGTAATAAATAAATAAATATAAACTTTTTTTAATAATCAGTAAAATGTTTATAATAAAAACCACACGAATAATATATTTCTCTTACTTTAACATAATATGGTTAATTTAATGGTTAACGCGCACACTTCACAGTGTAATACATTTTATTTTGATTATTGTATCTATTGTAACATATCCTCCACATCATCATTTATAGAGTGGAAAAATGTGCAAGTTCAATTAATACGAAATATAAGACCGTAACACAAAGGCCTACATAAAGTGTTGTGTATTAAACGCCACAATTATTAATATAATTTTCAATTTGTACTAAAGCGTGTCGACAGGGCGTTTAGCTACCTTCAGTCGTTTTTGCCGTACTTTCTAAAACGAAAGGTTAATTAAGCTTTACCCACCAGCAGGAAAGCTCGGGTACGTATGAATATAAAATTAACGACTCGAGCGCTCAATTATGCCAAAATTATATATACGGAAATGCAGAAAAATAAATTGTTGATATAACCTGGACTGGCCTCGCCGTCAGCGGAGCCGCGATTACTCGTCGTCTGAGCGGACAATCTCGACTTCCTGGGTGGCACGGGTGGCGGTGCCGTTGGTAACTCCGGCGGACTCTTGGCGTATCCCTGTCCCTGCAACTGGCTCCCGGGTTTGCGTTCCGCGCTGACAACCTCGGGCCTGAGCGCACCCCGACAGCGCACCGACAGCTTTATCACGAGCTGCGACTCCTTTAGCCGTCGCACGCAGTCGAGGCGCGTCATCTGCGAGACCGGCACCCCGTCGACCGACAGCACCTGCATCATCACCGAGACTTACATAAACTTCGATCATTCCTGATTCGCGCATTTTATAATCGAAGGTGTGATGGATCGCGAATACGAAGGGACCAATGCTACTTGTAGCTTCAGGTATTTTCGAACAAATTTGCTAATATTAATTACAATTACAAGGACACTAGGGAGTATTCGATTGAATATTGAAAGGAAATGAAGATACCATTTGCGTGTATTTTGCAATCATTCCATAAGAAGCATCGATCTTAGTTGAAATATGACGGTTATGTACAGTTTACAGGTTTGGTAAAATAGTCGTTTCCTATCTGTTTCCAACACGCATACCAACAAAATTTTTATTCTTCTTAAAATATTAATAATTAATTACCTAATTTAGTTTAATATTAGCAAATATTTTTTCCATCGGATCTAAGCTCGTATCTACTCGAAACTGCGATTCGTTGAAGAAGAAGAAAAAAATATTGACAAATTCAAAAGTATGCTATAAAGTATTTAAAAACTCTACGATATTCCTAAGTATAATTATTTATGCTTATAAGTTTTCGCTCGTATGGCATAAAACGAAATGGCAAAAAAGAGTTGAAAATCTAATATTTGAAACCTTCTTTACCGTTATAATACAGTCGTTAATCACGAATTTGTAAATCGTTAGCTCCATTACTTACCTACAGAAGGGACATTACATTGAGAAATAATAATAATACACTCATCTATCCTGGCAATTTAAATATTTTCACTTTTAATATTTAGTATACTGAGACGATAAATTAAAAAACACAACAGAAATACAAAATAAAAAACAAAAAAGAAGAAAGAAACTCAGAGGAAAAACGTTGCAAGCACTTGCGCGTTTAGAATTTAGTAATTCAGCAACATTAACGAACTGCAAAGGTATCCTCAATACCCAATGGGTATGAACAATCGTAATTCATTAATTCAAAGTTTACTTTCTTTGAGCCTATTACTGTCGAGTTGATGCGTTAGTTGGATATTTTTTCATAAAGCCAATGTAGCTTGAAAAATGATATTCAAATCGCGGGGGATGAGTATGCCGAGAGCCAATGACGTAACGTAATCGGTGCGCCATCAACGACCGGAATCCTTAATCGCGTAGGAACGAAAATCGACTATTCGGGTAATAACAAGTGAGTATCGAGGGTGAAGTTAAGGCAGCACCTCGTCGCCCTCGCCGAGGTTGCCCCAGGAGCAAGAAGCTCTGCTCGCGGGACTCTGCTCAGCGCAGCTCTGGATGAAGAGACGGCGCACCCTCTCCGACGTCTTGTTCCCGCCGTCGAACTTGAGACCGAAGCCGAGTCTCTCGCCCGGCAGACGATACACCTCGACCTCCTCTTCAGGGTGGGCGGGATCGGATCCGCTATCCTCTCCCGCGGGCTTGCCATTGCCGATCGACAGGACGGTGACGAAGCTCTCGGCCACGGGAGCAACGTTCACCACCGTCACAAATTCCTCGGACCTCTCGCGAGTCCCCTCCTGCGCTTCCATCGCCGTGCCCTGCGCTGTGATGACGTCTCTGCCAGCCTCGGCGACTAATTCAGTCGAGCATCGCACCTCTCGCTACTCGCTGTCGGGATCTGCAACGACATAATAAATTCAATTGAAGATTTTGGATGAATGACCGGTGCCGAGGATGGTCAAAAAATACGCGCCAGGGAAGAAGAGGCTTGGCACCCCCCCCCCCACACACACACACAATTCGGCTGTCATCCAGATGGCCATGACACTCTCCAAACTCTGCTAAATTCGTCGGGGATATTTACTCGTTGCAGGCTTCTTTATAGCCTCGCTTCGTTCTATAACGAGCTTTGGAGTTTTCTTTTACACAAACATATGCTAAACCCTCTATATTTAACAAGGACCCTGGCCTTTATTTATAATGCCAGCCCATATCCCCTAATCCACCCGTCATCCTTATTAAACACTTGCTTTATGCATTTTAATGACAAAAAATTATTAATATACCTCGTCTTCACTACTGATTTCTAGACGTCTAATGCATTTATATTATCAATATGTTACGGACATTGCCTGGATTTATCTCTTTTATCACGCTTTTGCCAACCATTGCTATGCATAATCTCTCAGAGCCTCTCCGTATACTATATTTACGTATAATATAAAAATAATTAGTATTAATAAATTTTATAATACATTCGATGCTCTGTAGATTCACTACGAGCGACATCTTTTGGGCATTTTATATGTAGTTTTTTGATCTTGTCCAAGCAATAATTTTGTTCAAATCATCTTTAACAGTTAAATTACATTTACAAGTCGAAACTGTAAATGTGTTGATATTATTTTAAGAATGTGGTCGAGCAAGTTTCAATTTTACACGTATATTGCTATTGCAAAATGACTGGTTTTCAATTTTATTGAGTTGAAAAAAATACGATTCCGTATCATATATTAAAATTAAATTGATTTGTAAATACTAGCCTATGCGACGTAAAAACGAGTTATTTTTATCCGTAAAAAGTGCCTTATGAAAAGTAATTGGGATTTTAATTACTCGAGCTTTTATAATTTATGTGAGAAGCTGGTACATTACTTGACTAAAATTCTCTTTATATTTATCTTCGCTTGCTGTACACGTTATTTCAATACAAACGAGCGTTACTTATCGATCTTATACGGCTGCCATGAGATTACCGTATTATTAGTATTGTTGTTGTTGATGTTGTTGTTGTTGTTATTGTTGACAAATGTTTAAGTCAGACGTAAACTCCTTATTATCTCCCAAAATTATCTCCTCGAATTTGCTGTGCAAAATTTCATTGTTAATCATCATCGAGGAAAAAAAAAGGAGAACAAGATAATAAGAATCTTGAAACATTTAGCGAAAGCTATGAAGAACAAATCTCTAAAAATTCCATACGTAGTAAATTATTTGAAGAGCCACGCACCTGGAAGTATCAAAGTATTCGCTCTTCTTCGAGTGCATGTGCTGGAAGGTACGCGTAGGACAAATTAAACGATAACATAATCCTCTGGTGGTGAGTTTGAACACCGCATGATTAAGGTAATTGCGATGTATCGATCGGCATATTTTCCAAACTCTAGTTTGTATTTGGAAACCAATACAATCGACAGCCATACAGTCGGCCAGTATCGATAGTGAAAAAAAAAGAACATTAAAACTTCCCGAACAACCATATAAAGTAGCCGTTTAATTGCTTTGTCGAGTACAGGAAAATAAAGCGACGCAGAAGAGCGCGTGCTCCGTCTCCCTCTTCGTATCGACTAGTGTCGCCTACATTTTCATCCAGCGAATTTTTCTCAAGACGAGGATCCTCGCCGCCACGGCGCAAACACCCCCAGCCGCCTCGTTATTTTCTCCAACGACATGCTTTCCTCTCTCTTCTTCTTCTTCTTCTTCTTCTTCTTCTTCTTCTCCTTCTTCATTCAATTATAAACCTATCAATAAGTCCTGCAATTGCCATGATACGGAGACAGAGAGAGAGAGAGAGAGAGAGAGAGAGAATGAGAGAGAGAGAGAGAGAGAGAGCAAGATAGAGTATGGTAAGGTAGCTTAGTTGGACTAGGGGGTAATGGGATATCAGCGACAAGGACGACGTTGGGAGGGCAGGGGATGGGATTGAAGGGGGGAGAGAGTTCTCATTCATCCTGTCTGGCGTAACAGCGCTGGCCCGGAATGTTGCAGTGCGTGCGGCAACAGGTGCGCGTCTATGTAGCACAAGGGAGAGAGATAACGTGCGTCGGAGATGGCTCTCAGAAAAAAAAAAAAAAAAAAAACAAAAAAAAAACATAGAATGTCTTTTAGTGAAAGGCGAAAGGTAAAAATTAAAAGAAGACGATTCACAAACGTAAGTGTAGGCGCAAATGCTGGGAGCCGAGGAGAGGAGGAGATAACGCGAGAGGTGAGCGTTAAGGTTTGGCGGTGTGCGTTATGCGTTATTACTCGGATTGATGCAGTGTTTTGAAAATCGGATTTTGGTAAGAATATATTTCGCGTGCCGTGCTATGCGGAATTTTCTCTTTTCAAAGTGCACTTGGCGGAGCGAATTTATGGCCCGTGAATAGTCGGCGAAAAAGTAACCCAAGAACTTTCATAATAGAATTCAATACGGAATAACATAATAACATTGCACGACTCCCGTGTTCAATAATTAAATTCCCGGGGATGTTGCAAGCTTATGAATATCTCGTTTGAGTGCGTAATACTTTATTAGGTCGCGGACAAATATTACGAATCTTAGCATAGCGAATAGTAATTGATAAAGGGCACTTGGACGGCTTTCATCTCAAATTGCTTTTCCCCTGGGAACTTGATAAGCTAGCTTTCAGAAAATGTTGCTCGAGTCATTTAACGTATCGTCGACTAAAATCTATCGACTTTGACTTTGCAGTTATCGCAACTGGCGTCGCGGGCCTTGTCGTGCAAATGGTCTCGTGGAAAATGCGCGGATAACGGCACGATATTGCGATGCGCGTCTGCCACGGAGAATCCGGAAGCTCGTTTATCGAGTGTGTGCGAAGCCGAGGCGCGCGAGGCATCGGGAAAAGAAAGTCGCCGCGCACGGGGAACTACGAGATGGATTTTAATTGGACGAGCTCGTTTCTCAAGGCCCCGCGCATCTACTCGTACGCACTAAACAAGTCTTCGCAACAATGAAGCTGCTGCCTCCTTTCGTCCCCCCCCCCCCTCACCGCCATACCAAGCTCAGGAAAGCGTTTAGAAATGAAGATTGGGCGGAAGCGACGCGAGAGGGAGCGGAAAGCTGCAGTCGGGCAGATCGCAAAGGGCCTTGAAACTGTGTCAGCGGAGCTCGGCAGCGATCGGGGGAGAAGTATTAGTGGAGAACCGATTCGCTTCGATGGGAATGGCAGCAGGTTAACGCGTCAGCGATTAAAGCACCGAAATTTTCACCCGGCAACGGTTACGAGGAAAGCTGCTTGCGCGTGATATACGACCCTATTATTATTTGGCTTTATACGGTAGGGAATTTATCGAACGGTTTTTGCTCGAGAGTACTTAGTAGGCGTGATTATGTAACCGAACGCCTATATATCTCTCGCACGTTGTGCTACTTCGACTTTTAGCGAACGCGCACGAGATATCGAACCGCTGGTATTGATTGTAATACGTAAACATTGGGACATTTCATCGTCCATTTGATTGCTGTTGGATTGTGAGATAGTGGGAGTGCCAGCGACATTGTAACGTTTCGAAGTTTCCAAGGTACAGGCTCGCCCGATCCCCTGGAATCCGCGGCACAAAGTAAACATCCGGAGCTTTCACTAAGCTATCGAGTCCATTGGCACGCTCTCTTGGCTGGCGAATCTCTCACACCCCCGGCATTCTGATGATTGTAATGATTAGCTGGTGAGCTTTCGTGGTGGGACAATCGCGGATGTCGTATGGCCATTTACATAAATCGCGCTTTTCGAACTAACATTATCCTACCGAACGTCATGCCAATTAAAATGAGACTGCGTGTATCCTAATAAATTAAACTGATGTGGAATGCCTGATTATGTCAACGGTAATCTAGCCCTCGCGTCACTAAAAGACACAAGCAGACGTCTCCGCGACACACATTATAAGATTCCTTTCTAGAGAGCCGCGTCAGGAGCGTGCAAGTGGGTCGCGTTTCTCGGTCCCGAATTCTAGTGCTACCTCCGTGGCTCCGTAAATAAGGTTCCGATTGCAATCGCTAGTCCACTTTGCGCCGCTATTGCGGGGACAAACGGTCTGTAGCACACAACCGCCCCCGTAATAAGAGGAATGCCCGACAATTGCCAAGTACGCCATGTTTGCGGCCTACTTTATCCATCGCGAGCTCCACGGATAGTCCCCCGCCCTTCCTGCGCCATCAACTTACTTCGATCAATTTTCTTGATATTTACGGTGGACTAGATCGTTCGAGGCGATGGTGTGGGGTGGCGAGGTGAAGCCGAGAGTCGAGCTCGGAAGCAATGAACGGGGGTTATTTCTTCGATTATCCGCCAATCCTTTTTATAGAAATGCACAAAAGACCAAAGGAGATATTCCGTATGTGTATATCGGCTTGCGAAATTACGCTAATACCGGTAATCAGAAGAACTCGAATGATTGACGCTCGATATTTTACGGACCCTGATTATAGACTAATGAAAAAAAAAAAAAAAAAAAAAAACAAAAACAAAAACAAAAACAAAAACATACAGATACACACATTTTATAAGCCTGTATCAATTATAAAAAAAAAGGTCAATATTTTTCAATGAGTGCTTAATGATAAAAATGGAAACCATACAATTATTAATAATAATTGGTCGTGTGCTTTGAATTCGGCAGAATTCAACTCGAGGAAATGCAACTTAAACTAAAATTTATCTAACTTTTCTAACGATGTACTTTAAGAAAAAATAAGAGATAAAATGAAAATAAAAAACAATTATAAAAGAATCGAACAATCGTTATTCGATTGTCACGTATCGTTCGTGGTGTTTGAAAATCTCTTGTCCGACGTTTCATATACTTATTAGCTAAATTCTTAAAAAGTAATGTAGAAGTAATATTATGCAAATGGAATGGCAATAATTAATCATTTACCCTACTTAATATACG